TATTATTCAAAACCATTCTATTTATTCTAACGTAAATTACATGCCAGTGTTTTATCTTTTTATTTATTTGTTTTTATTTTAAATCGTATAATGTCGGACTTTTTTTGCCGTCTGTGAGGAAAATAAATGGGGCTTAGAGCCTAAAAATACTGAAATCTGTATTTTTTTAAATATTGTTTTCCTTCTAATTTGTTATTCTTTTCTAAATAACACACTGTTATTTACTCAACAATAACACACAATTATCCTATTATTTTTATTTATTCGTTTAATTCTATAATCTTGGGCTTTTTAGCATGCTTTTTAGCCGTAAATAAAGTCACCGGAAACAGACGGGACATTTCGAGCGATACACACCACAAACCCACTGAACTGATTACCCAAGATCCTCAGCTTGAAGCTCGTTGATTGGATGTTTTGGCCGCAATGCACGCTGGGATATGGTGTTAATAAGATATGATATCCGAAAACATTTAAAAATAATACTTTATTCCGAGTGTTCTTGCTTTTCTCTTTGGAAGTCATCACATAACGGCATTGTAATCCACGGTTCGGCTGCATTAAATATTACACATCTGCCGTAGTTCTTTCCTTGCAGACTTCTGGACAAACTTGAAGAATTGCCGCCAAAACTGAATATGTGACGTGGATCATAAATATATCAACAATTAAACAACATCTTACCTTTTTTTTCACAAAATACGTCTCCTTGCAGTATCAATAGTAATTCGGCTGACTTTTATATTTGATCCAATTGGTAGATAGGTTATATTTACACCATAACGGTGCACAGCTGATATAAAAAGGACTTGTAGTTTTTAAAGATATTACTGATTTTCTTTGAATATAAGAATGTAAATACTGAGTTGAGAGAATAGTCAGGGGATTTGGGTGATGGGAGACACATCTATGGAATCACAATTTCAATAGCTTACCATTACATGACGGATATACCTTTCTGTCTGTGATGTTTTACAAATCAGATATTAATGTGTAGAAGTAAAAAATGAGAAATAGTATAGCAATATCCTGTAAAATTATGTAAAAACATGAATAAAACTACACATCTTCAGATGTTATACATACATAAGTGTCCTACACTAATAATACAAAGTTATTATTAGTATGCTGTGTGTACCTTGTGTGCACCGCCTAGTGGTTAAAGCACGTTATTGAATTATTTTTGTTGAATAATGTTATTTTTGTTGAATAATGTTATTTGATGAAAAAAATATTAAGAGTACATACTTTCATAGGGGAAAAGTAGAAGGTCAATGATAGAAATATAGAATATAAAAAATCAAGAAGATACTGTAGTGATCTCTACCATAAAACAGTTTAGTGCTGGATGTACACAGATATTAATAGGACGATGTGCAAAACAGAAAAACGAATTAACCTTTATTAACACATTAAAGAATACTTTAGGTTAAGGTCTTCTTTCAAATAAGAAAAAAGCTTTGGCGGTATCTATCTACAGATAAATATTAAGCCTGACAAAGTACTAAACGTCTAATATATTGCTTTCCTGCAATGTTAATTATGTTGAAGCACTTATTTTAACTGATAGTATACACATTAATTATACTCTTATGTATGTAGATAGTATAAGAAATGTGCAGAATTTGACAGTTTAATGGTGGAGGTACACACATATTGATAGATGTCTTGTGATGCACTGTTGAGGAACCTGTGACCCAAGTTTTTCATTCATTGCATAACTACACCGTAGTTGTGTATATGATATGTCAATAAACCTTAGAAAATCTTGAAAGGGATGTGCAAAATAGCAATTATATACAGTTTTTAATTAACTATTAGTAGAGAATAACGAGTAATTAATATACTTTATAGGGATCTGCAGATAAATGTTTAGTCTTCTCAAGCACCAACTATCAAATATCTCTCCCAATTGTTGGCACTTGACAATCACCTTCCCTGAATTTTACTCAGGTGTAACTAAAGTCTGATTTAAGGGTTGTTTATAATTCACATCATTAATCAGAATCTGCAAAGTAACTAAAATAAATGTAGTGGAGTAAAAATACCAAGTTAACCTCTGAATTGTAGTGGAGTAGAATTACAAAGTAACAATGAGCTGTCATGTGGGTATTAATGCTGCCCATTATGGACACAAACGATTTTCACCCATTTAGTAATTACATGTTTTAAATTTGTACACACCAATTTGTTTCCTATCGCCTGAACCTCCAGGGCTGTACACAGTTTAATACTGTCAACTTCTAATTTTAGAAACACGAAAACGTCTTTTAAAACTACAATTCCCAGTAGAGACGTGCCATAGAGAACATGTTGCGAAACACAATAGCCAGCATGTGTAGTTCTTTGGGGGCGTTCGAGTCCAGTTTTGAATAGTCTGCTGTGGTTTCGTTCCATTTCAAAGAGCTTGACGCTCGGCGTAACCTTGGCGCACTGCCACTCCAACATCCAATCCCAGAGCTTGAAGATTAATCACGGGGTTTGTCAACGGGACTGTAGTCCCAAACGATAGCTGGGGATTATGGGTAGTGTAGTGTCTTCGGCCATACTAAACTCTGAATTTTTTTTGCGGATATCATATCGCATTAACACCACATCCCAACGTGCATTGCGGCTAAAACATCCAATCAGCGAACATGAAAACATTCCCAGTTAAACATGCACAAACAAATTGCTAATAAAAAGATAAAACACTGGCATGTAATTTACGTTAGAATAAATAGAATGGTTTTGAATAATAGATGAGAGTAAAATCCACGTCACTTTACAGCCCCGCCCACTTTTGGGGAAACCAACGCTGTCATTTTAACGGCGATCAAGCCTGAAGCCACAGAGATCTTCTGTTACTGTCCTTTCTTCTTAGAGGAAGTACAGAAACACGTAACTCTGGATTTTTTTTTAATGTTTGAGGTGCAATAAACGACACAGCAGCTTTTTGGCATGTTAAAACTATTATTTTTTGCCTCGCTCATGAGAGTAACAGCTGGCGAAATTACGGCCTCGCCTACTGATTTTAATTTAACCATATTTCGAGCCAGATTGTCGATTTCAAATGTGTGCTCTAAAATGATATTTATAAATGACTATTATCATTATTATAAGCAAGACAATAAATGGTGAAGATATGTAGACAATAACCGTATTTAAGATACGTTTATAACTAACGTAACGTGGGAGAAAATACGTTTCTAGCTAAACGTAATTGATAATGCAGTTTAGTTCTGTGGGAACGTCATTTTTAGGAAATAGGGTTGTTAAATGACTCAGTGTTTGACATGTCATTGTTTATCTAAATATGATTTCCTTTCATTCATTCTTTTTACCTGTTTATTCCTGTTCAGGGTAAATAGGAGCCTGGAGGCTTTCCCATTGACACATTGCACAGGCCTGTTCCTAGAACAAATTAATATTCCTGTTGAACCAAATAAAATGTTGTTGTTTTATCATTTGACTTGTAGCTTTATGTTGAATGGTTATGGGGCAGCTGAGTTGATCACTAACCCTGAGCCAGTGTGATGCTTAAGTGAGGGCAGGAGGGCAGAGAGAATTATGACCGTTGATGGGAAGGATTGCTGCAACAACTAAATCACAGGAACTGGGCTCACTATCAGCTATGACAGAACAGCTCATGAACACAGTACATCCAGGTCATTGGAATTTGTATTACATGAAAGAGACATAGTAATAAATATTAAACGGACTATTTATATTCCAAGACATTAGTTACATCGTCCAATTAAAATAGTTTGGAAGGGTATAGGTTCCTGTAACAGCAGGACAGTAATAGCAGGAGAATGTCAGCAATGACAACACCAGGGATTTTTTTGCCATAAAAACAAGTCTGCTCCATTAAATAAGTTAAATCAGGGTCAAGGTATCATACATTTACCAAAACAAATTACATGAATTCAGAGTTTTGTATCATAACAAACGAAACATGAGAAGTTGTCAGGTTTTGCAAAGAAACCATGTGAGAACATGACGGAAAGGAATCCATACAATGAGGATTGGCTCCATGTATTCTCAGAATGGGCAGGGCGCACATAAATGCTTGAAAGAAAGCATGTATTGACAGGAAACTTGAGCATATGAGCAAATAAATATTAACCTTAATACCACTGCATAACAGATAAGTCAGTGTGGATTTAAAGTGTCAGTGCTGGGATTTCTATCCCTTTATTGAACAGCCATCTTTAGCAGCAGTTCACATGTTAAATTAAAGCCAGACAGATTCTTGGAAAAGCAAGTGTTTAGTTGTTGGAAGGAGTCTGACATTTCTGGCACATGAACACAACACGTTTAATTCTTTAAGGATGGGTAGCTTGTGGAATTCAGTTGTGTGGAAGATGAAAGGAGGGTGCAGCTTGTAAATCATGAAGGGTGATGGAAAGGCTTTCTCAGGTGCCATTTTAGCCTTTCTACAGGTCTTCTTTTGTGGTCTGTGCAGTGTTGCCCCAGGCCATGCTTATTGAATGACCAGATGCTCCAAGGTGTGTATGTGTGATACATGTGTATGTAATAAATCTGGAGTGCAATATATTGCCAATAAATATAGGTTAACATGACTATCAAAGTGTCCACTGTGCCCTAAATTCTTCTCTCGCCTATTTACAAATGTGTTCTAGTAAATAGCAAGTGAAGTGGGACTCTTAAATGTGAGATGTGTATCAGACGGAACTTGACACCGGTGCGCAAAGAGAGCGCGGAGATCAGGTTAGAAACATGCATCGCAACAGAACATCTCCAAATCGCATTCCGCATACTGAAATCTAATCCGAGGACATCAGGATGTGTGACATAATCCCCAAGACATCTGAAAACTTCGCTCCTCCAAACGGGGCTCCCGGTGGTTTGGAGAAATATGTGGACCTCTGTTTGCTCTTGCGGGGATATATAAAAGAGGGGCGGACACCAACTGCCCCAAACGTCAGAGCGCACTTAACTATAAATCTCTCCAAACTGCCCTCTGCGCGCGGTGCGGTGATATGCGCAGACATCTGTCCTCCTTCAGTCCAGTATGAGGACGACGCGCGTGGTGACTCTTCGAGCTACAGACACTATCTGACCCGGAGAAAATGGAGAATCAATACCCCCATCTGAGTTGTTTACTACGTCAAGATATTGTCAGATGTTGGCGATTATGAACATTTAAATCAGTTTTGGATATAACGACGCTTCAATTGTTTTATGAAGAAGCAGACGGGAGCTTTTCTGCTCTGTGGGAAACCGATATTGTGCACCTTTTGCGCCTTGCTTATGCTCTGGAGACGCTGATGTCTTCATTGGACTCCTTTCAGACGGAGATGGTGGAACTCTCTCGGATTTCCAACGTGGAAACGTAGCATCCAATTAATCAGCGACTGCAACTGTACCCCGTAAGGCGCAGTGGCACTTGGTCCGCTCTCTTCAACACCTACCTTTGGACTCCAAAGTGTGGAAAGACGCATGGTTTGGTTGCTGCGCCGGATCGGAGTACGAAAAACACACCTGGTGCGGAATTTCATCTTTTTTTCAATCAAGACATGAACCGAAATTGAACTCCTTGTAAGGAATTTTTCGGATTGTTGCTTTTGAACTATCCATGCAGTGGATTCGGCTTGGGACACTCAATGAGTCGCGTTTTCTGTTTTGGATTTTAAAAACAACAGCCAAGCGAGTTTCAGGTCTGCATGGCCCATATTTAAGGTAAGTAAAGCAATATATGTCCTATCATTTGAGAGTGTAAAATAAATATATGGTAATATCTCCTGAATGTTTGTGCGCACATGGTTTACACGCTTCACTCCCATGTTCGTTGAAATAGCAAATCAAAATGCAACTTGTGCATTTGTTAGGACTTTCGCATAAGCTAGTATTTATCTATGCATAGCTGTTTAGGTTTACTGCAGACTCAACATGCCATTAGACAGAGTCACGTAAGCTTTGGGGATCGCCATCTGGCCAACTCACACCATTATTTAGGCTATGGTTGCCAACACGCTTTGGTGCGTGCTTTAACCAACGCATTTTTGTGAGGCTCTTCCTCCGTGCCTCATTACAAGTAGCAAGAGCTGGCCTGATAACAACAACATGATCATATCCTCTTATATTTGTCATTGGTCCGTAGTGAATACGTGGCTGCTGGTTGATAACAAATGCTTGTCATTTTAAAAACAACACAGGGTTTTTACCCACTAACGTACCATTTGTTTCCTAAAAAATGTTTTCTATATTGTTTGCATATCTTGATATTATTAAGTTAGTAATTTTACTGACTTCATAATATGTGTTTCATTCATTTATAAGCATTTGTTTTGGTAGGTTAACTCCATCAACTGATATTGATATTTACAACAAAGCCAGACAATGTGAAGATGAAAGCCTCTTGACATGATGACACAAAGTTATAAATACTCAATGAGTCAGGGTAGGCCTGACCACACTGTTTCAAACTCTTTGCTGACTTAATTATAAACAAGAGTTGCCCTAAATAATGACTGTGGTTGTATTAGACTCCTTTATAAGTAGTAGTAGTAGTAGTAGTAGTAGTAGTAGTAGTAGTAGTAGTAGTAGTAGTAGTAGTAGTAGTAGTAGTAGTAGTAGTAGTAGTAGTAGTAGTAGTAGTAGTAGTAGTGATTTCTAATGAATAAAGGTATTCTGATTCTGATAATCAATTTTGTTTTATCTCCCTATTAAAAAAACATATTCTCTCCTATTTTTGCAGCTTTCTTCATAGGAACTGAGTCTAAGATGAAGTTATGGGATGTTTTGGCCACGTGTTTGTTGCTCCTGAGCTCTGTTGCTACACGGCCTCTCTACCAAAACACTCAGCCAGCCAAGAGGAATTATTTCTCCAGCAGCTACAGTGATTCTGCGTCCCTGTCTGTGGAGGACAACGAGCCAACGTACCAGCGTGAAGACCACAACCTGCAGGAGATCTCCATGGAGGATCAATGTAAGTCATTATGCACAGCATGTTCTGACAAATGCTTTAGTGCCGTGCAGTCACTGAAATTGTCTCTTGAATGATGGATAATTGGTCCTCATCAGGGTCACATCAAATATCTTTGCATTAAATAACATGAAACTAACTATTTAATCATATAGTTAAAAAGGAAACTAACATTTTCAGCCATGTGTTGACTTGTGAGAGCAATAGTAGGCAGCCCATAGCTTATACTGTCGATTTTTTAAAGGGAAATTTAGACATGAATGTGACACCATTGGTTTGCTTGCCAAGTAATTGACACTAATTACACTTGAGAAACAGCAGGTAAAGTGATAGCCAGTGGGTTGAGCCAAGAGTGGAGAGTCCTACATTGATAAGGCTCTCAGACAAGAAGGTTATCAGAGGGAAGATCTTAATTTGTGTTTTATTGCTGCTGTGGGTTACATCACACTGATGTCAAAACAAGCCAGAAGCATGAATAAGAGTGTGAGCAGCTCCGATACCGGAGGTCGCTCTCCACATTTCTCCTTCTCCCTTTGTTTATATTCACCTCTGCCTCTCTGCGACATATGACATGACCTTTACCCATCCGCCAAAAGTCAGAATTCATGGTTTTATAAAAGGCGGGGTGTACCAGGTTGCAGGAATTTCCCACTGAACAACACCGGAAAGTTTCAAGCATCAAGCGAGAGTTCTGTGTTTATGTTCATTTTAACAGCGACCGTGGGCAGGGATTTATTTTGTTTGGACCAATGTGACACTGTATCATCTTCACACAGAAGTAGAAGCAGCCAAGACCTAGATAAGGAATGGAACATTTGGACAAATGTTTGTCCTGCCACCTCATATTCTTGTTTGGCCCGTGGTGACATCACTGATGTGCTTTGTAACCCAAGACCATTAGCCATGCACTAATAGTGAAAACAATACTGTAGCTCCAAGAGAGTTTTTGTGTAACGTCTGAGAAAAAAGGGGGTTTCTCTTAAACAGCTTTAACAGCTCAAATCTGCAGATAGAAGCTGTAAGAGGAGACTGATATTGTAGTATTCAGCCAATGATGGCACAATTTGCACCATTAATCGCTCCGTTTGCTGCCACCGGCCCAGTCTGTGAGCAGGTGTACACTGTCGCCTGTCAGCGGACATACAATAGGAGGTGTCTAAATCAAAGGGCAGGTGTGTCTAAACAGATTGGCCCAGGCTCACCTGATATGCGAGCGGCGGCCCAATCAGCTGTAGAGTGCAGGCAGATCAGATAGCCTGTGTGCTGCCAGAGGAACAGGTAACACAACAGAGATAGGCGACACTGCAATAGAGAGGCACTGCTAACCACAACACCACCTGCCAGACATTGCACCCCGTCCCCTGTCTTTTTCACACACATCCCCAATTCACACACACACAAACACACAAACACACAGGTAATGTAGTTAGAGTTGGACCAATTGATACATTTCAGAACAATATGTCTTCATGATTCTCCTACGTGGTTCACTGTTGCCAGACCCACAGGCGTTAGAGTAGGAGAGTCTTTACTTTATAATAGAATCAACATGTAACACAGGAGGGTCCAAGACTTTCACTCTGTTCTCATCACTTCTGCCAGCAGATGGTGGAGAGCTGTGTTGGTGCATGTTTTCAGTTTCAAGCAGACTACAATCTGCTTCATCTAAATGACTCAGAGCATATGATATCCTTTTATATGGCCTTTGAAGTGTTGACATTCAAAAAACGATATCCATGAAAGAGTTAAATGACTGAAAAACAATCTCGAAGTGCGTCTCTCTTTTGGTGGTGTAATTGGACTGTGCCTATGTTCTTAATGCAAAATCATGCTTGCCTGATCCTATTGTTACAAAAAGTTACTACAACTACTCTCGAAATGTAACTTACAACTGCCTCTGACCTTTATCTGCCAACTCATCCGCCAACAGCTATCTTGAAAGAGTCAAAGCAGGGCACCTGCCCCACCATATGAACATCTCTGCATCAGACTTATCCATAACTCAGCACACACCTTTTCTGATCTGGACATTTCTAAGTATTTATTTGAACTCCTCTGCATTTCTGTGCAGCCTGTGTTCCTTGCTTTCTTCCCGAATGTCTTTTTCAGTCTTGAGTTTGTTGAACTGATCGATTTATTTCATTTACCTGTTACATAAGTATCTGCATTTGTGCTATTAAAAGACTAGATTTCTGCAACTTGTGAAATAAACACATTCAATTTTGGCTTTCACTAGACTGTCTCCCCGTTTCCAGTCTTTGTGTCTATTTCCAAAAATGTCTACCTGTTCCTTGGTAATAACGAGGTTAACTGCTCCAGCTGCATTAACTTGCCATATGCAGAGAGAAACTAACACTTAAATAGTAATAAAATCAACACTAACATATGATTATCTATTTATTTGGCTCACTGTGCAGTAGTGTTGGCTGCAATGTGATGGAAAAATGCACTGTGCATGCAGACAATTGTTAATTTAAAATGTAAGTTTCTAATTAATGGGAAGCAGTCAATGATCTGCACATGTGATAAGAGTGTGCTTGTGGGAAATGGTTTAAATTCACTAAAATGTGCATGAATTCCTACATTACTCAGCTAAACATGGCTCTGCATGTTTTTCATACTCGTCGCTTAGTTTTATTATGTTTGATTCGTATTTTGTTTTTCCCAAAGGGATATTTGAAGTCTAATTGTATATATGCTCATACAGCCTTTGAAAGCAATAGATTAATGATATTATGTATGGTGATATTTTTAAAAGTTTATGTGAGTTATGGCATTATTATTTGTATTATCAGCTTAATAAATTAATATTTCCCCCCTGTATGTTTCAGATGACATCGCAGGTCCCTATCCAGAGCAGTTTGATGATGTGATGGATTTTATTGAGGCTACCATTGGCAGACTCCGGAGATCATCGGAGACCGGCGAGAGCTCCAAGGGACGGAGGGAGCAGAAGCAGAGGGGAGCAGCAAACACGGGAGGCCTGAGAGGCGACAAGAGAGGACATGGGGACAGGAGGCGTGGTCGGGGGCGAGGGGGAAGTCGAGGGGGTAAAGGAGGGCGAGGCGAGAAGGGGAGGGAGAGGGAGGGGATATCAGTGCAGACCCGAGGCTGCTTGCTAAAGGAGGTCCATCTCAATGTGACAGACTTGAGGCTAGGATACCAGACTAAAGAGGAGTTGATCTTCAGGTACTGTAGTGGGCCCTGTGTGGAGGCGGAGACAAACTATGACAAGATCCTCAACAACCTCACACACAACAAGAAGCTGGACAGGGACACGCCCTCTCGCACCTGCTGTCGACCAATAGCTTTCGATGATGACTTATCTTTCTTGGACGATAATAATGCATATCACACACTGAAGAAGCATTCTGCCAGGAAGTGTGCCTGTGTATGAGGACAGGCATGACCTGAATCAGTGAAATAAGGATCGTCTTTGTGGGCTGATGGGATATCTAGTGGAGTGTATTTTCCGAAGGAGACAAATGGAAGTATATAAGGCCATCTCTCCCAGTGACATGAGGAAGATGGGACAGTCAATACAGAAAGAAAATACAACTTTACATTCTACAGTCCATGCTAAGTCATCATCCCTCCTGACCACTTTGGAGTTTCCGGTCATGCACTTGCAGAAACGTACAATATCTGCAACAATTTGCGGGAGGAACAATACTGTTACACTTCCAGATTTGCCAACTGTACTGTCTAAAGAAAGTGAAGAAAAGTGAAGACTAAGCCGGCTTTTTTTCTGAAGGATGTCATTTTCCCAGGAACATCAGTTTTCCCTAGCTGGCTCCTTGCACTCCAGATGAACACAGAGATATGAGGAGTATATTCAGCTGCAGTCTAAATCACTACTCCATGGTCTGAATGTTGACATTTACATTCAGAGCCAATGGATAAAAAAATACCACATGGGAGTTCAGAAAAGACTTTTTGGTGCAACGCATCTATATAAAATCTAATCATATATATATATATATATACATACATATATATATATACACGTGTGTGTAAGAGGTATATTTATTAAGATGGGAATTAACTTATTGTTATTTATTTCAATCCATTTTATAAAAGAAATTGTTGTTGTTTTTTTATTTATTTAAAAGCTTTGTTTGTCCAGGATAGTGGAGCTTTTTTTCAAACTAAATCTATAAAAGGTGATCCAGAACTGCTAAACACATCCTAAAAATACTTATTCGCTTTAGATTCCAGGGTTTCTCAATTCATGACTCCAAAGGATCATAATTAGCTATCCAGTTTAGGGAGGGTATAAAGAGACACAGAGGACCAATAAAATGTTTTTGGACTGAATTGACCTGTTGTTTTTGGAGCATTTTGAGAGACGGCAGGGTAGATATTTCACTTCAACTTTCCAAATGCGACTATGCAAAGACAAGGGGGGCTCCAGATCGGTTTCTCAGCAAATTACTCTTTACTGCTGTTTATTTTCATTGTAGTTTTCCAATTAATAATCCAGGAGAGATTGTCAGTCCAAATGGGAGCCACAACATCTTTCAATTGAAATCTAAAATGAGTAGTAGAAGGAGAGTAGTGGTCTCTGAGGATCTGCAGGTGTCTTTGAGGATCCATAGTTTTAGTCACAGAAGCTGCTAGAATGCCTGCCTATCAGCGTACGTTACCCGAAACCTCACTCTGGCCTTGCACCAAGTCTGAGCAAAGGCTTTGCAGCGGTTACTGTCCCAATAGGCTTTAAAGTTCACAAGACTGCTTGTGTTTCTGTCTCGCCTCTGACAGACAGGTCTTACTCCCTGAAAGGCGATTTGAAAGTGATCCTCTAACACGAGTCTTAACCAAATATCCCTGTGGGCAAAGAAATATTGGTGCAGGCAGTTTAAGGAAGATCTAACTGCTGTAGCTGTCATCACACAACTGATGTAAATATCTCTAAGACTAGACATTTGGACAAAAGAATATGTTTTGGAATTACAGAGCAAAGTAGATGGGTAAACTCAACACATGCTTTCTACATGTAATGACTTGTTCAGCCAGGTTTATTCCCAAACTATACACACATATACATCCAGGATAGAAGAGGCTCTTTAAAAGCATGTTGCTATGCCCATTGAGACCCCGCAAGGGGATCGTTTTAAGTGGAACACAGGGCGCCCTAGTGTAGGTCTTGATGTTAGCACGGATTAGGGACCAAGGTATCTGTGCCCACCCAGCAGCAAGCAAGCCAGCTTTACTGTGTAATCCCCCTGCACACAGAACAAATCCACTGCATCAAGCTGAATTTAGGCCAAACACTACACAGAGAGGGGAAAAAAACTCTAGCTTGTATCACAGCATACCTCATCAATTGGATCATCTTCCCCTTTAACAACTGATTTGTGCATAAGCCTTTCCAGATGAGAATGTGCAGTTAGGAGACTTCCCAGAAGCCTCAGAGCGCCTCGCTACTCTACGCTACTATACGTTAAAGTGTGTAAACTGTGACCACTAGCTCATCTCCATGATTGTTTGTTCAACTGTTCCTTGATGAGAAGTCCTGTGGTTTAGATGCAAAGGTAAACAAGCAAAAGATAAAGACGCAAATAAATCATTAATGTTAATATTAGATGAAATAATTGGACTTCTTATCGCTCCTTATTGTGTCATCACCTCTGTGTCATGTCGTCTCACTTGTTTTGTGTTACAGAACCAAAGCTCCCTGCAAACTTTATTTTTGTACAATATTCATTTTATAACTTTTTACAGAATTAAACTTGTTTCTATTAAATGTATGTGTCTTCTGGTATTTTGCCATGTACAATACTGCACCGGTGCCAGATGGTAAAAATGTGACTCTGGTGTGTTTACGCAACCATCATGTAAAATTGAGGAGGAAAATTTGGGTTAAATGGAGATTGAGGGGATGGTTTGAGATATGGCCTCTATAGTGGGGCATACATTCCTGAACACTAGCCCAGGGTCGAACAGTATACAAAAGCTATCTGTAATGCACCGCTGAGCTGTAAATCAAGGCGCTGGAGAATGTTTCCACTGCACTAAGAAGATCTGTAAATGCTGATGACAAGATGGCATCAGTACAAACATTGAGTCATTGAGCAGGGGCTTGAGGTGTATATATAATGTATAGCTGAGGTACTACAAGAGCTTAATATGTCCAAGTCAAGTCTTAAGCCTTGTAATACCAAGTTGCAAGTCTAACAACTTAATTTCCAAATATTTCGGCCCTCTAAATAACATTCAGTTTTTGTGCCGTTGACTGTGCTTTGGTTTGCAATATGGCTTGTCTTTTCATTGCTTTGATCTAATAATTTAAGCTGTTATCAATAATTGTATATGAACAATGACTGGAATTACCTTGTGTACATATAAGGTGGCTTATGAGAAACTTACAGAGAATGATCACACAACTCTGCAGCGGAGCGTTTTGGCGTCTTTCCGCTCTATGTTTTGTTTTCAAAAGTCCCACGACTTTAATGTTTTGTTTCAGCTAACGAGACACACATTTCCATTATGAGTTAGTAGAGAATATGGGACTAGCAATAACCATGTAGCCAGAAACAGGACGGATATTTTGCCTCATAAAGTTTGGATGTGTAAATAACCAAGAGTTTATTTATTTAGCATGTGACAGAAGTAGTAAGCTAAAATACGAATTGGATGTGTTTTATTTGTCTTATTACTGAGTCATCTACCTGTGCACAACAACTAACATGGACATATTCTGTATTTGGGGCATAGATAAAAAAAAAAACTTCAGGTACTGCAATAAAGATAAAAAATACATTCAGAGTTGAAGGAAAGGACCATTTGCCAGGTTTGCATCTTAAAATGTCTGCAACTGGAGGATAAGGTTTCATCTCTGCACACAGCTTCTCTTCTCCACGTGCCAACTAGTTGATCACACGCTGGTGGAGTGAATCAAAAAGCAGTCACTCACCTCCTGCTGGCTGAGAACTTTTGTTCTCAAGGAGACCTTGACGTCAGTGTCTCCACCATGAAGCCTATCTCCTCTAACCCCCCACTTTCTTTGCTCTTTAAAACATCACTCTTTCTTTTAGTCCTTCCATATTTCTTGTCTTTGTATTTCTCTGTCTCATATTCATTTTATGGCTACAGGAAGTATGCCATGACGCGGAGAAATTCGATTGTCTGCTTGTAACTCTGCTTAGGAATTTAAGACTGCTAGTTTCACCCATTGCTAGCCAGTAAGTAAAAACACTAGTCAGATGTTGTATGGAATGTAAAGATGTTCTGTGTCTTTACATGTAAGGTAACATCAGATTCAGTGAGTAAGGTGGAGGGGGGGTTACTTATCATTTAAACCTCATCTTCTTGTCAGTGAAATTTGGCATATGCAGAATTAACTCTATACGACTCAAAATCTTGTTACAAACTAGTTGTACTTAAACTCTCACGTAAAGTGTTGCTGTACGCAGAGGTTGCATTCCTGAGAGATGTATAAAGAACACAAGCATGGGTTTCATTAGATCTGTATGGTGTGGTTTTCTCTGTCGGTTCAAATATGTTTAGACATTGAACACAAAGAGAACATAGAGAAAAAGCTCCACTATGTTGTAGGTGTGCTATACAATACAGTTATTTCAACATTATTTGCTTTTGTAAGTTTAATGCAACACATTTAAGTGGGGAAGCAATTGGAGCCCCAAGAGACAAACAATGTGGTACTTGGGCTCAAGGTTGCATTTCATATTCCTCCTAAGACTGAGAGGTATGGATGAAAGTGGACCTTGACAATAAAATTATTATAATTTTTGTAATTTCTTATCTACAGCGAAGTTTATCAAAACCAGGCTCTGCGAGGACAGGGTGTGCTTTATATCTGCAGGTTGGAGCCAGTGCCCCATAAAAACGTGTTTGGCAGAACAATGCCTTTGATCAGCTGGTCAAAACAGATATATCACTTAATTTGAGATCAAATAAATATACATTTGACAAAAGAATACATATCCCTTTATAGGTGAAATATAGAACGTAGGAAAGAAATCTATGGAATCAAAGGGGAAGAGAAGTGTTGCACAGCTTTGTAATCAAGTCAAACCTTGTAAAATAACAAACTACAAAAGAATAGAATTGGCTGCAAGATTGTGTACTTCTTAGCAATTTATTTTTTACAAACTAGTAAACTGCGCTTCATAGTTTGATGAACACAACCAGACCACAAAATCTGGAGACAATTTATGAGGCATTAGAAAGCTCCAGGGTTGTGGGAGAATAGGACAATAGAAATGATGAAAATAAAGTCAATAAAATAAAAAAACGACATAAAAAGCCAAGTTCTACCAAAGGTTGGATTGCAATGAGGGGAACATGAACAAAACGGTATAAAACTATGTTATGCTTGCACAGTTAAAATGCCTACACATGTATGTGCTGCGTCTTAACACAGAAGTAGGCACATAAATACATATATGCAAACTTTACGAGGGAGGTCAGGGTCTGTACAATTTAGTAACTTAAGTGATGCTCCAATGCACAGTATCTGAGTGTAACCCATTGTTTTGGATTGATCCTGAGACCTCATGGTTACTGTGATAAATATACAAACACAGGCCCACCCTGTCTGCGATCTAACATAAAATGAGCTGCTGCTATGGCTCCTCAGATCTTGCGTTTCTTCCACTCGGGTTCCTTCTCAGCTTCCTCATCCTCCTCGGATTCCTCTGCAAACATGGGCTCTGGCTGGGTACTGAAGGGAAACAATAATGGGTCATTATTAAGCAGATCTTTTATTCTCCAGACAACTTTAGAGCAAAGCAATGGACAGCAAATTAAAGATAACAACCAGATGACGGAGCTGTGATGACATGCATGATTTAAGAATTTAATAATAATGGAAAAATCCTTTCTTCTATGAAGACCATCTGAGGCTTAAGCCCCTGTCACACTGTCCCGAAATTGACACCCGATGGACACACAATAAAGGAAATGTTCAAATTCGGCTGTGATTGTAGCAACATCGGGCCATTCGTGAGGGCATCTAAGCCATCGTATGACCGCCGGTGGAGTTTCTCAGGCTCCGGCAGCAACTTAGTGAGCGGCAACTTCGTAAGGCACTTGTGAGGGCATCTTGTCAAATCGTGTCATCTTCGTGTTATCATCGGTGCATTCACCCTCACTCTGATCGGGCGAATGCCCGATGGCACCGATGATAACAAGATGCCCTCACGATGGCCTTACGAAGGGCAAAATTGACACACGAATTCAACACGAAAATGAATCTTCGCAAGGTCCTTCGGCAATTTTTTGGCATGCCAAAGATTTTTCCACCGCTCACGAAGTTGCTGCCGGAGCCTGAGAAACTCCACCGGCGGTCATACGATGGCTTAGATGCCCTCACGAATGGCCCGATGTTGCTACGATCACAGCCGAATTTGAACATTTCCTTTATCGTGTGTCCATCGGGTTGTTTTATTGCACAACAAAATCATGTAAATATATTATGTAAATAACACAATTTGTGTTCTGTGAAACTAAAAAGGATATAATATATTATTTTGAAGGACAATTGACAGGAAGTTGTTGTTGCTATGGAAACAACATTACAGAGAAAACGTAATATTTTCTACATATAACGACGGATAAAGTAAAGAACAAAGTCTGAAGATATCAGTACAGTATCATAGTACTGTAACATAATTGTTTTTGGTACTTTCATTGCAGTTGTATGTCTTAAATGTAATGTAAATGTTGCCTTCGTGTGTGGTTCGGGGCCATCTTCGTGCGAAATTCACAATTCCATATTCGTGTGTCCATCGGGTGTACATTTCGGGACAGTGTGACAGGGCCTTTAAGGAAGATCGGTCTGCAGGTGAAATAGCTACAAAGTGCAGAGGAATTGTACTTTATCAGATTCATCTACTATAATGTACATCACTAGTGTATTTTATTTAACTAGAGTGTTGTAACCAGTCTGTGTTTGGCTGCAGCTTTGTTCCACGTTTACATAGCTGTCTGAGTTTGATAAAGATCTAAAGTTGGCCATTACGCTCCTTTTGGCAGTGTGAAGTGTGTACCTGTAAAACATTTATGTGTCACACTGGCAGGAAGAAACCCAAGTACCATCACAATAGCATGAGTAGCGCTTCTGATACTCATCTTACACTGTCTGCTAATGAGAGCTAACCCACAAATGAGAGGAGATGAGGGGGACTGGGAGAGACAGTAAATAACTCAAATGAGGAAATTAGAGTTTCTTACAGTGTGTATGCCGGAGCAACCCAGTACGGGTTATCTGAAGCTTCCTGGGCGTGCCGGAGGATCGCCTGTCGTGGGTTACTGTCGTCGGTTTTATCTAAAGCAATGTTCTTCACGATGAACGAAGACAGAGTTCCTCCATGAGCTGCTACTCTTCCTCCACGACCTATCAGGAGAAACGTTTACAGGATTATATGTAGTTCAGACTTAGCTACAATAAAAACACATGTGTAATGTCAGAGGACAGAATTAGGACATGACTACAGTATGACACACTATTCGCACAGTCACACACAAGTTAGCACATGACAAATCATGTGTTAACTGTAATAGGAAAGCGTTTTCAAGTGGTATTATTGTAGGTACAGGTTTGAACAATGAGATTACATTACGTGTTTATATATCTTTAGCAACATGGTTACTGCTAGCAGCCTGGCTAACGCTAGTGACCAAAGCAAGTACATGTGCAAATCCACAAAAACTAGAAACCTTAAACTCAGTGCTATGAATAAAGTAAACACCAATGGTGTTAATAGGTAGGCAAGCTGTGTTACTTACTGATCTAGTTTTCTATCACTCTCCCTCTTCTCTGTCTTCTTTGTCTGTCAACGCGGCTCTTTTGCCAGGTA